TATATATATATATATTATATATATATATATCTATATATAATATAAATATTTCAAGTAATTCTGTTCATTCCATACTACATAAATGGGGCAAAATCTTACCTGCCGCCTCCTACCCATTTCTTCAGCACCGTGCCCATCTTGAACGCATCCTCCACCATCTCACACACACAAGCCTCGTAATCCAAGTCACTAACAGCGGGGTTGTTCCTATACCTCTCACACTCATCAATCACATCCAACACACTCGGACGGTCCTCTACATCATCATTCGACATACGCACGAGAAAATTGTTCAAATCCTTCGATAGGTCTGCTTCTTCATCGTCGGGCAGATTGTAATTGCCCGCATACCACATGGTTACCGCCAGTGAGTAGACCAGACTCTTATCGTAATCTTCAACACCCCACCCCGGGACCATCTCTCCCTTGACATACGTGTAGCCACCACCATCCCTATCACCGGCTTTCTCAGCAACTGATGCACCATTGCCATCACCATCACTGTCGCTTTCGCTATCACTTTCCTTGTCACTCACAGACTCGCCTAACCGTTCGGGTGCAATATAGGCGTCGATGTCCTCTTGTTTCAACACATCTATCTGTTCTGCGCGTAAGAGGCCCACACTCCCGTCTCCCCTCAGACTAATCGCATACGGCGACACTTCTATCTTCGCAATGCGCTTCAGGACAACACTTGACACACTCGCACTGATCGCAACCGGCTTACCTGCACTACCCACACCTACAGCAGGGGGTGTATCACACCCAGACACAGGTGTTGGCACTCGCTCTCTGACCGGGATACCCAAGGCCTTGCGAATAGCCTCAGCACCCGCATAGCATAGTGGCCACAAATGCTTCTCAGGAAGTGCACAATCAAACACCTCCAGGCATTCGGATAACGGGTACGCCTCATCACGCCATACGGCTGTTTTCCTGCGCTCCGACGTCGACGACACTCTCCGTCGCAGAACAGGACGTTGCTTGCTCCTCATCGATGTAGGTACACGTGTAGTTCCCTCTGCAGTCTCATCCTGCGTAGTTTCAGCTGCATCCCGAGCTTGTTCCGTTGTGTTCACGTCTGTGTTTTCTGCATCGTCGGCTTCGGTGCGTGTGTTGTCATGCGACAGGTTTTGATTGAATGCTATGTGCTTGTATGCACTTGCATCTTGCCCATCCTCTTGTGTACTGACACCTCGCTCACATGGCTCGTTTCCGTCGTGTGCGTGTGTGTTTGGGGTTACATGTTCGGCATTCATCAGTTTAACCCCACTTCCGTCGGTGTCGTTGCTGCGATACTTTCGCTTCGATAAACTAGTGGGTGACAGTATGGGTGACCTCGAAAGTATATCCTTCTGCAAATTTCGACCAACTGGTGTGTCAGCTGTTTCGTCCGTGTGTGTGTGTACGAGTGTAGGTGTAGGTGTAGGTGAGCTATATACCGTTCCGAGTTGTGTATTTGTATTCGTATTGTAAGATGGTCGCATAGGAGACCTACCAGTCTTTCGTGTGGGAGTCTGTGTACTCCCGTAGGCTTCCTTGACTAGTTCTGACTGCGAGTTAATGCTTATACTGCCGGGTGTGCTGCTTGTGTTGCTGGCACTCGACTTCCGCTCTCTCATCCTATAAGCCTTTACACTGTGTACTATCGTGTGACATTGGCACGGTAATTAAGTAGTTTCAGAATCATTCAGTATAACTACAAGTCAAAACATAGCACAATACTTATACACATACACACATACACATAATCCTATAATATTGTACGGTTTATATATCTATACATCAAGTGTATGCTTTTATTATATATTTAATATACATACATAAGTATAAATATATACTCATCGATATGTAATACAAATGAGATATTTATTTCTATATATTTATGAGTTATTGACCCGTAGTGTTTTGTAATTTGACTATTTCTAAAACTGGCCATCATATTCGTTGATATCAGAGTTACTGGAAATTCAATGTGTGTTTGTGACTTTGCGTCTGCTGTGGAGACGTGGAGTGGGGCCCCGAAGATACTTGCTGTGTGTACATATATATATAGTGTTCAACAATTATACTATCTGGGTTATGGACGTTCATGCGTTTATCAGTATAAGGTGTAATCGTATTGCAGTCACCTTTGCAAGATATAAGGTATGTAAACACACGTATCTAGCTCATATTACATCGTTAAAAAGGTCAAAGTTGGTAACCATACATTCTGTTTGCATTTCCCTTCACGACAGGAGAGCATAGGTGGCAAGCCTCAACGTAGCATGAAGCCTTGAAGGAGAATGCATGTGAACATCATACCAAACACTTAATTGCTTGCCGGTGGCGTTGCGTGGGTACCCTTCGTGCCCTTATGCGAGATACACCATAAATTCCTCTCGTGATTACATCAATCTTTATTTCTTGTGCCTAACTCACGTTTAGTAGAGTATAAATTGAACCACCTTCAGCAGACAGGAAGATATCTGGTTTTAAATGCTAACCACTTACAAGTTTGTCCAAATAATACTTGAACCTTTTATTGCTTTGTACGTGATACCAACATTTTCGGTTTGATACTAAATAAACAGAGCACCCAAGGTCGCACGAACCATAGTAACAGACAAGACTACCACTGACTCTTTCGCTTCATCGTAAATTGCGGACAAAAAACTAGGAAGCCCAAGAGGACTAAGGAGATGCAATTCCCAGCAACAGCTAAAAGTTTCCGTGAGTCATCAGCGTATGTCGAAGTATGCGACCTGGATATAGCTATGAGAATATATATATATATATATATATATATGTATATAGATACAGATAATATATGCATTGATATATACATCCACATAAATACATACATATATATATATATATATAAATATGTATATATCAACGTATATATTATCTGCATCTATTTGTATATATATATAGATATATATATATATACACATATACATAGTTATGCACACACACACACACATATATATATGATATATATATATATACATACATACACACACACGCATATATATATATAAATACATATACATATATTGATATAAATTTATGCCAATGTGTCAAGATATATAAAATATATATACATACATACATATATATATACACACACACATATACATATAGGTCAATGTATTAAGATATATATATATATATATATGTATATATATATATATACATACGTATTTATATATATACATATATATAGACATAATTTAACACTATATATAGACATGGTTATACACATGAAAATACATAACATGCACACATGTACACAGACACACATATATATACATATATATATGCCTACATATATCACACATACGCACAGACACAGACACATATATATATGTCTGCATACATACAAACACACAGACACAGACATATATATATATATATTACACACACACACACATATAGATATATAAGTATATGTATATAGATATATAGAAATATATATAGATATAGATATTTATGTAAATATCTATATATATATGTATATGTATATATAGATATATATATACATATACAGATACGTATACATGTACGTACACACACACACATATATATATTAATATATGCATGTGTACACACAAAAACGAGCCACATGTACGTGTATCAAGATACGGTAGTGATATCGTATGAATTATAGGTAAACATATCCGTGATAAACTACAGTGTGGTGATTACGTTCTGTAGTCTTGGGCAAGTATACGAATTATTCCTTTTGTTTACTTTCAGATACGTTTAAACACTATACATTAGGCCGTGTATACCGAAACGAATCTGCGTATTGGTGCATAGTGTTCATTGTCATATGCATGTATGTGCAACTGTGGTGTGCGATTGCTAATGTACGGCGAAGTGTGATTGCATATACCCGGTCCGTGCAATACTAAGTGGGGTTCGTGGTGTTTGTTGAATTCTTTTAAGCGGCATCAATAGGGACTTGGTACACAGAGTATGGAAGACTCGAGATCGAAATGCTAGAAAGATTTCCGCTTGTCTGCAAGTTCAGAGCTTTCACCACGGATCAAAGTCGGTCGACTGCTATTTCGAGAAAGTATCAACGACAAAAGATTCGCAAGAAAGCGCAGTAAAATCCATAGCGCACTTATAGGACTATAATCAGTGACGATGTATTGTACGTACCGTGAATACTACTAATACTAAGAACTGTTCCTCCGACGTGATGAGCCATGGCTGTCATGTAGCTTGATAAGAATACCCTTGCAGTTTAGGCCAGGATGCCAATACATACTAAAAATAGATGCACGTGTTTTATTGCCTCTTTTTTTAACTCTACTACGACTACTACTGTGTCGCCACAAAACAACTCCAGATTTCCCTAAAAATGAATATTTGGAAAATACATCGAAATACAAACTCAGAAAAAAACTTGTCAATTTTAACCGAAAATTTCACGGGTTCGTACCAAATACAGTGAGTGGAGAGTGCGTGGTATGCCAACAACACTCGGGCCTCATCAGCATGGAGACGATTTCCTATCCACCCGAGGTAAACATGGCAACTAGCAAGAGCTGTGCTGTATGTGGTGCTGCGTGTTCGTTCACATGTGCACGGTGTAAAGAAGTGTCCTACTGCGGGTATGCACATCAACGTGCGGATTGGGATACGCACAAGGTGCCCTGTCATGCGATTTCAGCTAAGTCAGATACAGAAATAGAAACAGAAACAGAAGCGGAGCACATGGAAGCATACAAAGGCACACATCATACAGATAATGTACGTAAAATATTCGAAACGAGTGTTAGTGACCAGTATTCGACTGTAGAGGGAGTGGGAATGGGGGGCGAGGAGCTATGTGCTGGGTCAGAGGAGGACATGGGTTTGGGGGATGTGTATAGCGACACGGATGCACATACACACAAGTTAAAAATTTCCGAGACAAATGCTCAGAATAGACATGCTCATACGAATGGTGTGGCCACTGCACAGATGAGAGGGTGTGCTACCACAACAAAGGCCTGCGACTACGAACACGAGGAGAGCAATGATCATATGGATGCATCACATAAGAAGGCTGATGAAGAGCTGAAGCACGCACACCCATACGTTCATGCGCAGGATAGTGGGATATATGATGTAGATCAAGGTATAGGCTTTGAGGATCATGTCTACTTAGATCCCAACGTTACTATAGAGAAACAGTTGCTGAATAAGATGAAAGAGTTTGTGCAAGACGTGGAGAAGCGGAATGGCAGCACAGGCTCAGGTCACTGGAATCACTTGGTGGAGATGTTCGGTACGAGTTTAGAACATGCGCCCCACCCCCATCAGAGTGGAGAGGTTATTGAGTACGAGTACGAGATAGGTGTGGGTGATCTGGATGGTATGCACCTCGACATGAACTCGGATCTGGGCATCAGTATGAAGGAAGTGCAGAGCAGTCTGGGGTTGTCCTGTGTGGCCTCCTCGCATATAAGCGCTGATAAGCTCAGCCAAATCACAAGCAAACACGACAGTGGGTACGCACAGAACTTGGGCCACGACGAGTATGTGCACACATACGTAGTGGGCCATGGAATGGCTCTAAACGGTACAGTTGCAGACGCGGATATCCTGATAGGAGACGAAGGTGAAATCGAGGAGATCGCAGAAGTGCTGCTCAAGTCAGCGCTGAGGAAAGACACCCACCCACAGGGTGTGAGTGTGAATGATACATACGCAAACGAGCACGCATTCACCAGCTTAGACAGGGAGAGTGTGGCCGATACAGCAGGCGTACAGCCCAGGGAACAGGGTGATATGGAGCTCAACACGGGTGACCAATCGCAAGTCTCTCCCAGTAGTTCACGGACTTCGGACAGTACCAGTGCCACTACGGCTGATGCCCACGACCCTGTCCGGAATAGTTCGGGTCGGGGTGCACGTACCTATGCAAGTGCACACAGGAAAGGAAGGGGTAAGGCCCTGAACGGGTCCACCAGCAAAGCCGGTGATAGCACACAGAGTATAAGGGACAGTGTGAGTGCGTCGGGTGGGGTGGGTGCAGGTATGGCCGGGCGAGACCACCGCCCACACACCCGTGCCCAGCCCTACACCCACTCGAAAAGCGGGGCCGCACACAACCAGATGACCGATAGCTTGGCGGATAGCAGGGCATACGAGGACCAGGACTGGGAGCTGGAGCCAGAGCCCAAGGAAAGCTCAGTGCGGCCGTTTACAAGCACAAGGGAGCCTGCCAAGAGCTGTGCTGTGTGTGGCAAGGGGTGCTCGTCTACGTGTTCGCGCTGTCGCGCTGTGTCGTACTGTGGGTTGCAGCATCAGCGCCAACACTGGCTGAAGCACAAGGACGCATGCATTAGCATGACCAGTGATGGGGGCACCAACAACAACAATAATAGTAGCAGCAGCAACAGTAACAGCAACAACAACAACAATATTAGCCACAATGATAGGGATATCAGCAATGGGTACGGTGGGAACGAATTCGAGACTACCGGCAGAAAGAACCTACCTGGCAAGGCTATGAGTGCGAGGCGGCCCGGGGGGTACGGCCCAGTCTATGCTACGGATGATAGGACGGGCTATGGATATCCCAAAGGCACGACAGCGCCCAAGTGGGAGTTTGACTACGATTGGGAGTCTGTGCTATGTGTGTTATTCGAAAGCCTGGGCTACAAAGGGCCCGTGGCTATCAGTCGCACGAGTGTAGCGAACAAGAAACCGGTGACGGCTGTGGGTGCGAATATAGGGCAGGGCCTGAGTCTCGGGCGTGGACGTAGTGTAGGTAGTTCTCTGAGGGGTGGCGCTGATGGGGAGTTCAATACCGGGGAGGATACCGGGACGGAAAGCAGTTCGGAACCCCGACTAACGTGCGAGGCTGTGTGCGTGGCTCGAGTGCCTGGTGCTGACGACGAAGTGTATGTGCGATCCATCGTACCCAAGCCCAAGACGGCTACGGTTGCGGCACGAGACATCCCTGCGGGTGAGTTGTGCCTGGTGGAAGATCCACTGTTGGTGGTAAGTAGCAAGGACTTTGTGCAGCGACACAGTGGGTACATGCGTCTGTCTCCCGAACAGCAGAAGCAGTTCATGTCGCTGTTCCATCCCACCCCCGGGACCATTGAGGTGCAGGCCTACCCCACACTGAAGGCTACCGAGACGTACATAGACGCACGCTTTGCTGGGCTGGATAGAACGGATCCTCGGACGGATTACGATGCCGTGGATGATATGATCGACAAGATGAAGCGGGTGTCGTTTATTATCGATATGAACGGCCTGCGAGATGCGGAATTGGCCTCGGCTGATGGGAGACACAATGCTGCGCACGTGTACGCCCACGCCAGTCGGCTTAAACACAGCTGCGCGCCTAACTGTTGCAGAGCCATCAACAGTGCTGGGCGGGTCATGGTAAGGGCTTTGCGGCCCATTCCCAAAGGCATGGAATTAACAGTGTCATATCTGGACCCCACCAAACGGCTGTGTTCTGGTGCGGATAGGCAGGAGCTACTGCGGAGATTGGGATTCAGTTGTGAGTGCAACCGTTGCGAAGCCGAATTCGACGATTCTTTTGGCTTTTATTGTCCAAATCCTAAATGCGGACCCCCCGATGGTAGCTCGCTGGGCAAATTGGACTACAACCACTGCAACGGATTGGATGTGAATCCCGATTTTGGAAAGACCAGCAATACCGGTACAACGACGTTAGGCTCCAAGGGCAAGAGCAACAAGAAGAAGAAACCCGGCAAGAAAAACGGTCCCAATGGGGGTGCCAAGAATGGGTCTGCATCTCGTGCCACGGCTACTGGATATGGCCATGTGTTCCTGTCACACGAGTTGGACAGGCTCTCTCCGTGTGCACAGTGCGGTACACAACCGGACCAGAGATACGTTGAACGGTGTGCGTCGTACCAGAACCAACTGGCGACCAAGCTGGCCGATCTAGACACGGACTGCCACAAGTTTGAGGATGACGAGCCGTTTGTACGTACGCTCCAGTTCTGCCACACGGCACGCATGTCGCAGAACCGAGTGGTGTTTGTGTTGCACGATATGTGTGTGGACTGGTATACCAATATGTGCGAGTTTGGCAAGGCCGCGAATTACACCCTCGCCCAGATACGGTATCTCACCCGCGTGTGTCCGCTAGACCCTGCGGTAACCGCGTATGCGCTGGAGCGCTTGGCGGATTGCATGGCTGGGTGCGTACGGCCACAGCTGTACTACGATCAAGCCAGACTCAGAGTGTGTGCCAATCACTACCCCTCGTCTTACCTACACGCCAACGATCTCTATCCCGTGCGCACCCCATTCCTCAAAGCACCCGAGAGTGAGCAGGTGAACCAGATGTACCGTCTGGCGATCGAGTTACTGAGCTATGCGTACGGGTCACCAGATAGACAGTGTGTGCGCGATGTGTGTGACAAGCTGGCCTGGTTCTTGGCCAACCAGTGAATGCCGTGACTTGCCATACGGCTGTTAGTCTATAGCTGTGACGGCTTGTCTGGTAATAGCTATGACAGCTGGGTTTGAAGAGGGCCTTGTAAGCGACGACATAGCCCACTGTCGTGCTCGTAAGCACTGGTAGTAGCCTTGCGTGATTCCGGTCGTGCCAGTACTCAGTGGACAGCACCCAGCTGATCAGAAACGCGTTCACGTGGCGTCACCGGCAGATAGTGCGAACCAGCGACACAGTCTATCTACTACCGTTAAGTAGTTCGATCTGCCTGTCTAGTTATTCGGTTTATTCGGCTCCAACGAATCTTCCAGGTTACCTTTTATAGGAGGCATTGGTATGGGATACATACGTCTTCTATGTAGCTGTCTGATTGTACATACTAGCCGCTGGGTCGACACGCGTGGGGTTGATTTAGCGGTGACGGGCATGTCGCATACAGTATATGGGGGCGTGTGTTGTGAGCGTCTAGGCGTCATAGCAGCTCACACTTCACTCCACTTCATGTACATATACATAAACATACTATTCCACACGCTAGACGAGAGTGCTCAGTGCACTATATCGGGCTGAATGGATGAGGTATCTATCTACCGCAAACACAAATAGAAAACCACATTGCCAAGGCGCATTCGTATTACGAGATATGCAATAGTCACCACGTCTTTCGTATATTGCGGATTGCCTCAACCTAAAGCGCTGGAGCTTCGGTTGGCAACTAGTTCGTATGCAGTTCTTCTTATCCTTATTGATATTGATATTGATATTTGAGCCGAGTAGAGGTCGCATTTATATCACCATCGGCCATATTGTTGCAAATACCAACATCACCTTGTCAGCTTAAATGTCAGGAAAGGAAAGCCAAACAAGGGCGACGGTTAACCCCACGTACACACAGCAAGCGCGTGCACTGGAGGTTCTTCTACGTCCACAGTACAGTGTCCTCCTGTCTTTCATTTAGTAAATAGAAGATGAAGTAAAAACATTACCGTATATCAGTGTTGGAGGAAAATAAAGTATACATACTACAATAATTGATCGGTTACGATGTATAGCCTTACATAAGCGGACAACTTCCTGTCTGACGAAGCTCTGGTTGGTTCACCTTGTGATCGACCTCAAGTATTGATGCCTTGTTTGTACATGGTGTACACGCGTATACGCGCTCCAACAGATACATACTTCTGTATATTTATACGCTTCTATTTCAGAGAACAAAAAGAAAATACACCCACTCACACATACACTCACACACTAGCCGTATGTATACACATTCAATTGCAACTAGACTGTACATCTTACCTCCCGAGGAATCACCGAAATGCCAAGGTATTGCGCAACACACTCATGTATCCAACTTTATTACGATAGTACGTGTTATTCTGTTTTCTATCCGTTCGTTCGATACACCCTGATTCCCGGCAGCGTGTGCCATTTTAGTACTTGCATATCCTTGTGGTCACGCGAGCGTCGTGTCGCGGGTTTTCTGCTTCATCGAAATCGAATGAGCATCTATTCGTACTAATAGCAACAGAAATGAACGTCTGTATGTGCTTGCAATACTTGTCTTCTTTTAATATTTGCACCTGAACGTTTATATCTATGAACGCGAAGTATCATCAAAACTGATAGTAACATGTAAGTTTCCATGAAATTCGAAATCGCATTGCTTCGCCCTATAATGCGCCCGTAAAGGTTTAAAGCTGATACAACATGTCGAAATTGCTAGAGTATACTTTTCAGACCCTCAGACTTCTGGCGCCCGAAATTATGTTGAGATGGCTATTAGATATTTATAGACCTGATACCAACTCGGATGTGACTGCTTGCGCTGATTGTAACAGGAATGTCGTACGGATTGTGTATGAGAAAAGAAAGACAGCAGCTTTGTCTGTATTCAAAATAAAATTGGTGGTCCGTGGGAGTAAGCATTGGCATTTCTATTTATTATAGTATGCCACGGTACGATTGTAACTATACTGCTATTGGAAGGAGTCCGCATTCGCCGTGTTCTTGCCAAGGCTAGAGCCGCACCCAACATCTGAGCTAATTAAACTGCATTCGTCCCTTAGCATAGCCATACATATGCACGAGCCAGAGGAAATCGCGTAAAAGCCATACTACCACGGTGGGTGCCGTGGAAGTAGTGTCGTGGCCCTGACATACCATATATATAT